ACAACTGCTGCAGTATCACAATAGGTTACCAAAAGCAGGTATACTGTTTTCCAGTTGTTGTTTTTTTCATATATTTCTACTTATCTATATAATACTATAGTAAGATTGTTTATATCTCATTCATTTTTTTTTTCTTTATCTTTAAGTGTTAATAATTTTATTCTTTGAATGAAATTAGTTAAACAAGTCGGCTTTCCATTAAAGATATTGGTTTCAAAGTTGAACACCATTGGCAAAATGCTTACAAAATTAGGTAGTTTTTAAAAATCTGTTTTCTATTTAATACACTTTTTTTTAAATATTCTTTTTTAATATACTTTTCTATAACAATCCTACTAATATAGAACCACGTAGCTTTTTAAATATGTTTAATTGTCGTCCCTATCGGTAATAAATATTTTAAATTATTTGACATGGTTTTCTTTACAATAGGCTATGCTTGGCTTTTTGGTGCTGTAAATGGTGGCTTCAACTTTGTTTTTTTTAGAAAAATGTGTTTTTTATATGCTTCTGTTTTAAAATATTTTTATTACATATTTAATCACATATCATGTAAATAAATTTCTTTTAAAGATATGTAAATTGATACTTGCTTTTTTACAGATTTTCAAAAAGTGAACAAAGGTTTAAATATATTTTTTAACTGTCTTATATGATTTTATCAATTTTATTAAAGCTGAATAATTACTTCAAAAATATTGAGTAAAATCCATTTGCTTTTATTATTACCCTGATTTATAGAAAAATTAATGAAATAAAACTAATAATTTAACGCCAAGTTAAGGCAAAATGTATTCCGGACATTTTATAAAATTAGTATAAATATGGATTGGATGTATGCTGAAATAAATATGTTGATACACGTTAGCTATTAAAGTAAATCCATATATTGTTTTTTTATGAACAAGTTTCTGCTGGATTACTAATTAAAAAAAAGGTTGGTTTAATAATAATCTTTATTATAATATTATAGGATCCGTATGCAGGGCTAAGCCCTTTTCAGAATTGCGATATATTTTTCAACTTATAGTTTTTCTGGATATTCAACTTCTATGCCTACAAGTTTGGGTGTAATATTTTAGATGTTTTAAAAATATTTAAAAAGTATATTAATAATATTGAAAAGTTTAGGTGCGATAGTGACATATTTTTAAGCTCTTCACTCAGTAAAATAAAAAGTTTTAAAAAAAAAAAGAAACGACTCAGCTTAAAGCAAAATTAAGAGTAGATTATATTCCCAATATTTACCTAAACAATTTTACGGAATTTGAAAATTTGACATCGATGTTCTGTGCATATAATTCAAGTCATTTTTAACTACTACATGGTTGTGATTTACGCATTCAATGTCTGAACATTGCAAAAGAAATGGTTAACTTTATTTTTAATGAAGCTAAGAGTTCACTTAAACTAACAAGCCAAGAAAAATAAAAGTGAGCTCAACTTAAAAAAATGTATAAATAATTTTATATTTCATTAGAAAAAGTAAATAAATATCAAATTGTTAGTAATGATTTATTTACTACTAACCCGTATTACGGGTTGCTTACTGCTAGTAATTATTATTATTATTAAAAGAAACCCAATATATTTTTTCAATGAAAAAGTTATTGGAAAAAAAAAAGGTAACAGAGGTACATTACATACTTTATACGACCCAAAAGCTCTTTTGGGTCGTGTAAAGTATCTCAAGTACTTAAAAGTTTGCATAACTGAATCCCAATCAAAGAAACAATTTTAAATATATGCTATTATGAATTAAATAAAGTTAAATTACATTATATCAATGTGATCCCTTGGTCGAGCTGTCAATGCTGTGGACTATAGCAACGGATATCAATGCTCTATCCCTGGTCGAGTAACATTGCACTTTTTTTTGCTTTAATGATGAATCAAATAAAAACAAACTATACCTTATCCAGATGTTTTTTTTAGGCACCCCTATTTAGTAAGTCCGTAAAAAACGAGTCCTACGTGAGATCAGTAAAATGGAAAACAAAACTTCAAACCCATTGCCGATGATGCCCTTTAATTTGAGGTGGTTCAAAGGGGAAAAGGAAGTTTGGATAAGGGAACAGAAAACTTTGTGCCTCTTTTTATATTAGCAAAACATATCAACAGATTTTAAATTTCGTTAAAAAAAGTAACTTACAAAAGCTATGACTATGCAAATTTCATATTTTTCCGTTTCAATAATTTATTTTATTTTGGGTGGAAGGGATGGGGGAGAGGGCAAGGTGTTTTAGGGCTTTTTTGCTCCCAGGCCTTTGCATTCTTTATTTTTTTGCAAGGCCGTTTATTTGGCATAGGTAAAAACATACATAAGTTTAGAGTTTGCACAATGTGTGAAAGAGTGTTATCTGGAACATCAAAAAATCATGCAGACCCCCATGCATTTGTGTGCGTTTCGGAAAACTGCATTTATGTGCATTTCGGAAAACTAAACCCACTACTATCTATAAAAACATCTTTTTATAATGGCAAACTAGGATCGTTAGACAGAATTTTAACTTTCCTATTGATAAGCTGGTTAATTGTGATAAATTAGAAAATTGATGTACGTACTTTTATGTTGAACACTCCCCCCTCCTACGCATATGCTTTTGTATGCTTTTAAAAAAAATCTACTCTCCCCCCTATATGCGTACATACTATATGGACAACCCCTCACTAAAAGAATTATCGACACGCTGTTTTATTGTTATGCTCAACCGAAACAAAAGTTTAAAAATAGACTTGAAACCAAGTCTATTTTTAAAGTGTTATTTTTGATTGCTTATGCCTAAATTACGTGAAAAAATCACTTCATTACGCACAAACATTATATACACAACAACAATATAAAGAAAACTTGCTTATTTTATAAAATAAAATAAGCAAGTTAAAATAAAGAAAAATAAAATTTATTTTTCTTTATTCTGTTCAAAAAATAACAAAAATTGCAAAAAGAATAGACAAACAACATAAAGAAAACTCTCCGTTTCTTAGTTGGAAACTATTTAACAAGATTCATAAACGTTTAGACTTTCTAGATTTATGTCTCACAGTGAATCACTCTCTCAAAGTAGACCATAAATTATGCCCCTTAACATGGTTATCTTATACTGTAGTTGGTAACAAAGTTCAAAGTCCAAAACATTTCGAGGAAAACAGGCACTTTGTTTCTCAGAATAAGCGTCTATGTTCTCTTATGATTTATCGATATGCTTATTAAGTATATTAACTTTCAAAGACATTTTGCATCTTATTTTTAATTAATTCGACATAAGACAATGGATAAACACCACATACTTTTTAGTTTTGTGATTATCTAAGAGGCCCTTAAAAACTTTGGGAAATCCTCACATTTTATGATCTACCTTATCTGTAATATGAAGAAAATACTAGCACTGACTTTAGCCTTAGACAGAAACAAAAAAAGATCTTGGAGAAAAGAAAATGCTATTGATTACTTGTTAAAGACATTGATAAATTCTTTAATATGGCTTAACTTGATGTGCAGTGGTGGCGTCAGAACTTTCAAAGACTTTATCAGTGGCTTTCGATTACATTGCTTTTTTATTCAGAAAACTTGGTTCATTGCAGCTTGTCTTTTTTGCAATAAGTGCAAGTTTTAGTGAAGCAAGCTTGGTCGGGTAGCGGGTGCGATCGCACTTGATAATTGACCACGGAATTATATTTAGTTTCGAAAAACCGGCCAGATTTTTTAGTCATTTTGAGAACATTTCAAAAACAAACAAAAAAGCGCTATTTTTAGCAAGCGCAAGATTAACTGGACCGATGAAAGACAGCTAAAAAAAAGAAAATAATTTTTAACGCGATAAAACTTTGAGCAACAACAAACACGTTTAGAGCAAATATTTATGAAACATCGATCTTTTATAATTTTTTTTATAAAATTAAGCAACATTTTTTATATAAACTAACAATTTACTATTAATGATTGTTGAATAAGGAAACAAATGTTCTTCGATTTATAAAAGAGTATATACAATTTTTACTTATACTTGTGTCTTATTTCCAGTGCTGACTTGAGGGGGGGGGGGGTAGTAGAATAGCTATAGCCCCAGGATTTTTAACTTAATGGGCCGCGAAATAGTCAAGAGGACCTTTTGGTATTTTTTTTTTAGTCATTTTTACGCTGTGACACATAAAAAAGGCCACTAAAATAAAATAGCCCCCGGCCCTGAAAAGTCCAACAAGATTCAACCGATAGAACTAACGCTAGATTATTAATTTATAAATGAAATTTTTTTTCAACAACTGTTTTATGCAATGCATAGTTTGAAAAGTATAACACTTTTGAAACAATTCTTCTTAGTAAGATGAACAAATGAAATATTTAAATCATTGAGTTATTGTAAAAATTCAACAAACTAGAATTTAACTAAAAAAAAAAAGATTAACTAAAAACGATAATCTACTTTAGGAGGAGGAACTGCTTCACAATACCGCTATTATTATTGTTTATCATACATAAACTTAAATGCTCTTAAAATGACTTAAAACAACCCGGCCAATTTTTCGCAACCAAATATAAATTTTGTAATCAATTAACGAGTGCGATCGCACCCCTTCCCAACCAAGCCTGATAAAGTATATAAAAAATACACTGCTTCATAAAAAACAATATCATCAATCATTAAATGCAATTATCTTTATCAAAAAAGCAAACAATAGTCACTTATAAATAATCAGTTTGATAGCTGTATGAGAAAACTTTAGGATGCTGCAGCATTTTTTAAACAAACATTTTCAAGTACATTACTAAATACATTAATAATGCCAATAAAGGTGACAAATGAAAGCTTACATATATTGATATTTAACAGGACATGCAATAAAACAGAAAGTAATTTTAAAAATAAAGTCAAAACTAATCATCTTCTAATTATATTAAAATTTTGTAAAATAAAACCTATTTTCAAATAACTAGATAAAAATTTTATTTTTAACTATCAAATAATAAACAAACCTAATAGCCAGATCAAATCCAAAAGAAGCAGTGACAAGTTTATAAAAAACCAAAGCAACAGTAACAGCAACACCTATAAAAAAAAAAGTAATTATTTCGTTGCATACCATTTTACAAAAGGTAATATTTTGTTGCATACAAACAAACCAGTAATTTGGTTTTACCTAAAACGCTATGCCTTGAACCGAATATGGCTCTAAGCAAAAATCATTAAAAAAATTATCAAAGCACTGTTTAATTTTTAGGATCAATAGATACCAGTGTTTTAAAATAGACGTAAATCAATACTTTATCTTTATCTCAACATTATCAATAACTAAACAATAAGAACCATATGGCTTGCATAAAACAATAAAAATGAATTAAAATTCAAATCCATTAGATTAACTTGACTAATGTAACTTATTATAATATCCCAATATACTAATATATTATTAAAAATATTTGGGTTAAAAACAAGTTTAATTTGAATAAAATATGGTTGCATAGAACTTTTGCAATTAACAACTCTTACCAAAAATATATTGACTAAACATTAATTTATGTTTCAATTTAAAAAAAAGATTACGAAAAACAATTTGGCTGGAGAGTTCTATTATTGTTAGCCTAAATCACAACGACAACAACAATATAGACTTGTATTATTATCTTATCTTTAAGAGAATAACATATTGAGTTAATATTGTTGGCCTAAATCATAACGACAACAACAATATAGACTTGTATTATTATCTTATCCTTAAGAGAAAAACATATTGAGTTGTAACAGAAATTAAAGAGATTTGAATTAAATTAAATTAACTGTCATTAATTTATAAATTTAACTATATAAAGCAACTTTTGCCATTGGCGTTCAAGTGCTATCTAAGATTGCTTATACCTAAATTATGTGAAAAAATGACTTCATTAAGTACAAACATTAAATACATAACAACAGCATAAAGAAAACTTGCTTATTTAACAAAATAGAAAAATTGTTTTTTTTTTAATTATGATCAGGAAAAAAAATAAAAACTGCATAAGGAATAGACAAACTCAGTTGGAAATCACTAAACAAGATTTAGAAATGTTCAGATAAATGTTTCACAGTCACTCGCTCTTTTAAAGTGGCCTTCAACAACATTGCTTTTTTAGTTGCCTTCAACAACATTTTTTTTTATTCAGAAAACTAGGTCTTTATTGCAATAAGTGCAAGTTTAAGGTAAGTATATAATAAATACACTGCTTCATAAAAAACAATATCATCAATTATTAAATGCAATTATCTTTATCAAAAAAGCAAGCAATAGTCACTTATAAATAATCAGTTTAATAGCTGTATGAGAAAACTTTAGGATGCTGCAGCATTTTTTAAACAAACATTTTCAAGTACATTACTAAATACATTAATAATGCCAATAAAGGTGACAAATGAAAGCTTACATATATTGATATTTAACAGGACATGCAATAAACCAGAAAGTAATTTTAAAAATAAAGTCAAAACTAATCATCTTATAATTATATTAAAATTTTGTAAAATAAAACCTATTTTCAAATAACTAGATAAAAACTATATTTTCAAGTATCAAATAATAAACAAACCTTATAGCCAAAGTCAGATCGAATCGAAAGAAGCAGTGACAAGTTTATAAAAAACTAAAGCAACAGTAACAGCAACATCTACAAAAAAAAATTAAAAATATTGTTGCATACCATTTTACAAAAGTTAATGATTTGTCGCATACAAACAAAGCAGTAACTTGGTTTTACCTAAAACGCTATGCCTTGAACCAAATATGGCTCGAAGCAAAGATCATTTAAAGAATTATAAAAACACTGTTTAATTTTTAGGATCAATAGATATCAGTGTTTTAAAATAGACATTATTCATTACTTTATCTTTAACTCAACATTATCAATAATAAAACAATAAGAACCTTATGGCTTGTATAACAAAATAAAAATGTATTTAAATTCAAATCCATTAGATTAACTTAACTAATGTAACTTATTATAATATCCCAATATACTGATATATTAATAAAAAAAAATTGGGTTAAAAACTAGTATAATTTGAATTAGATATGGTTGTATAGAACTTTTGTAATTAACAACTTTTACCAAAAACATATCGACTAAACATAAATTAAAAAAAGATTACTAAAAGCAATTTGGCTGGAGAGTTTTACTATTGTTAGGCTAGATCATAACGACAACAATAATACAGACTTGTATTATCATCTTATCTTTAATTTGCGACATTAATAGTAAAAAGAGAATAACATATTGATGTGTAACAAATAAAAAAGATTTGAATTAAAATATATCATATATTAAATATATAAGATATGAATTAAAATATATTGACTGTCTTTAATTTATGTATATAATTAACTGTGTAAAACAACTTTTTCCATTTGGCGTTTAAGTGTTATTCTTGATTCCTTATGCCTAAACTATGTGAAAAAATGACTTTATTAAGCACAAACATTAAATACAAAATAATAGCATAAAGAAAACTTGCTTATTTAATATAACAGAATTTTTTTTTTTTAATTATGACCAGGAAAAAAAACTGCATAAGGAATAGACAAACTCAATTGGAAAACACTAAACAAGGTATAGAAATGTTCAGACTTTATAGATATATGTTTAACAGTCACTCGCCCATTTAAAGTAAAACCTAACTTATGTCCTCTAAAATGTACATCTTATACTGTTTTTAGTAACAATATTTAAAGTCGGAAACATCTTGATGAAAACAGGTGCCTTGAATCTCGGAATAAGCGTCTATGTTTTCCTATGAATTTTTAAGATGCTTATGAAGTATATCAACTTTCAAAGACATTTTGCATCTTAATTTTGCCTAATTCAACATGAGACAATAAACAAACCCCACATACTTTTTAGTTATATATTAGGTAACTAATTAGTTGAGTATGACATTATCATGCTCACCTAACTCAGCAGTATAATATATATATATATATATATATATATATATATATATATATATATATATATATATATATATATATATATATATATATATATATATATATATATATATATATATATATATATATATATATATATATATATATATATATATATATATATATAGTAGCTTTCATAAATTTAGACGCATTCATTTTTTTTTCATATATGTAAGAAAATACTTAAAATAAAAATAAAATAAAAGTACTACCGCTATGTTTGATATATAATTTACAAGAGGAAGTGAAACTCTATTAAAGAGTACCTTATTTTTTTTTTGACAGGATGTTTATTACTCATTCTATACCGATTAACACAAAAAAGTTAATTGATAAGCTTGATTTTATTTTGTTCATAAATTTAGACGCACAATCAAAAAAGTCTTATATCTTGTTAATCGATAGTTAATTAGTAGTTTTTTCCCCATATTTCTCATTAATAGGTCTAAAGTAATTGATTTTGTCAAAAAACTTTATATAAATATGACTTACCTGGAATTAGTTAATCATTATTTAATAAATAAACAAAAGTTAAGTTAGTTTTGCACTAAAAAGACGCTAAAAATGGTCAAAAGACGTATCACTCAAGGTGAAAGATGGCAAATTATTGCGCACATCAAAGAAGGAACTAAAAGTAATAGAAAAATTGCCAAGTTAATTGGAGTTTCTGAGAAATGCGTTCGGACAACGAAACAAAACTTTCTTCACACTGGTGGTGCCAGCGAGAAAACGAGGCCAGGTAGACCCTTGTCATCCACCAAATAGGACGACAGTGTTCGTTTTAGAGCTGTCAGAGCTAATCCAAGAATTAGTTACAAAGAATTGAACACAGAATTCAATACAACGCGAAATACATCTATTTCTCAAAGCATAGTCCGCCGAATACTTATCAAATACAAGATTGAAGTCTACACTGCTTTGAAGAAACCGCTTCTACGTCCATATGATAAACAAAGAAGACTAAAATGGTGTCGTGAAAGAAGGTATTGGACAATAGAACAATGGGAAAACATTATGTGAAGTGATGAGAGTAACTTTGAGCTTATCAATCGCAAATCTAACATAACAGTCAAAAAAATGGCTCATGAAAAGTATTACGCCAGGTACATTAGACCGACTGTACAAAGTGGAGGAGGCTCGATAGGAATCTGGTCATGCTTCAATTATAAAGGTGTTGGTATGTGCTAAACATACATCGGAAGAATCAACTCCAGAATATACGTAGAAGTACTGGAAAACAATTTAATTCCATCAATTGACCTGCTTATGCTCAATGATAAACCATGGAAACTTCAACAAGATGGCGCTACTGCACATACTGCATACTATACAAAGGAGTGGTTCAACGACAATACCGTGGCCTCCATACTCACCTGATTTAAACCCGATCGAAAAGATTTGGGCTTGGATTGACCGTGAATTAGCAAAGGTTCAAATTTCCACACTTACTCAGCTGAAGGAATTCCTTAAGGAGACCTGGTATGGGGTACCAGAAACGATGAGCAAAAGTTTTGTTGAGTCTATGCCTAGAAGAGTTCTTGGTTGTATTAAAGCAAAAGGCGGATACACAAAATATTGATTAATTCATAAATTACGCCTTCTAATGTATCGTGCGTCTAAATTTGTGAATAATTTTTTGTGTCTAATTTTTTTAATACCATGTAGTTGTACCTAATTATTACTTAGTATTTCATTTTTTGTGTAAACTTTTTTTAAATTTTGTATTCTGTATGTATTTATCTAATAAATAGAAAAAAAACTAAACCAAAATCTTTTTTCGTCATTGTTTTATCGTTGAAAAACTTAAAATTTCTATTCTCAAATATGAGTGCGTCTAAATTTATGAAAACCACTGCATATATATATATATATATATATATATATATATATATATATATATATATATATATATATATATATATATATATATATATATATATATATATATATATATATATATATATATATATATATATATATATACACATATATATATATAGATATATATATATATATATATATATATATATATATATATATATATATATATATATATATATATATATATATATATATATATATATATACTATATATATAAATATTATATGTATATTATTATTATTATATATATATATATATATATATATATATATATATATATGTGTATATATATTTATATAAATATATTTATATATATATATATATATATATATATATATATAATATGAACCATAAAATTTTAAAATAATATATTTTATAGACTCACATAAATAAGGTTAGGTGTCACTGATATAGATAAATATAGTCGATAAAGTGACACAAAAAAAAAAAAAACACTATAAATAAAACAGAAAGAATTAAAATAAAATAAAAAGGGAAAAAATTAAATTAAAAAAAAAAGAAAGAAAGAAAAATAAATAAAGATAATATTAATAATTGCAATTATAATTGCAATAATAATAATAGTATGAATAAAAAAACATTACAAATAGTAACTATATCATGATAACTTAACTAGAAATTATAACTTATGATAAAAACTATGGTAAAAATAATTATAGTATACATATATATATATATATATATATATATATATATATATATGTGTGTGTGTGTGTGTGTATATATATATATATATATATATATATATATATATATATATATATATATATATATATATATATATATATAATATGAACCATAAAATTTTAAAATAATGTATTTTATAGACTCACATAAATAAGGTTAGGTGTCACTGATATAGTTAAAAATAGTCGATAAAGTGACACCTAAAAAAAAAATAAAACACTATATATAAAACAGAAAGAATTAAAATAAAATAAAAAGGGAAAAAATTAAATTAAAAAAAAAAGAAAGAAAGAAAAATAAATAAAGATAATATTAATAATTGCAATTATAATTGCAATAATAATAATAATAGTATGAGTAAAAAGACATTACAAACTTATACTTAGCATTATCACCATCAGTGATAATGCTAAGTATAAGAAACATACGCTTATACTTAGCATTATCACCATCAGCTGCAGAAAATGCACAGCTTCAATCAATTAAATCTAAGCAACGGACAAAATCAGTCCTAACTACTTTGTCTTTCGTACTGAATATTATGCTTTTTGTAGGTAGTTTCAGAGCTAAACTATCTAAGTTGGTCACAAATTTAAACTGTGACCTAAATGATTTTGCATTTTCATGTTTCTTTGACATGCATTTTCATGTTTCTTTGACTTTGACTTGAAATGTAGATTAATCTGGGTTAAACCAGCTGAAATGTTAATGTCCACAAAACAAAACCTTCTGAAGTCATGGTTAACAGACCAATTTGAAGCTTTTATCCATGGATAGCTCTCATACCAGGATATCCATGGGGGCCATCCTATTAGAGCTATCCATGGATAAAATATCCATAGTACTTAATCTTTCCCATACAGAAATATTTACTACAAAAAAGTTTATTATTTTAACTAAAAAATAAAAAAAACAAATTATACTCCTGGCGGCCTAAAAGGTTTTTTTTTTTTTTTTTTTTAATTATCTTCGCTTCCAACAAGGTTGCAAGCAACCACTTATTAGTGTTGGAAGTTACTGGAAGAGAAAAGATGAAGATTGTAGAGCAAGATAACGATTGACAGACAACTTAAAATATTGCAAATTATATGAATCAGGAAAGCAAGATGAAGGAAGCGAATTCCAAAGAACTGACGTTCGAGGAAAAAAACTAGACGAATAAGAGTTTTTGGAGCACTTAGGAACAGTAACAAAAAAAGGATGAGACTTAATTGAATGACGAGTAACACGAGAATGAATTTTAGTAGCTGGCACAAGAGACGCTAGCTCTTTAGAGCAGTGCCCGTTATAGTATTTGTAGAAAAGAGAAAACGAAGCAATGTTACAACAATGTGACAGAGGTTGAAGGTTGTCTGCAAGAGCAGGTCCAACTATGTTTACAATGTGTTTTTGCACCTTGTCTAAAAGAGAAAGGGCATCATTAGAAGATCCGCCCCAGATATGGCAACAGTATTCCATACAAGGCCGAATTTGAGATTTATAGAGAAAGAGAATAGAATCCAGAGTAAAAAAGTGACGAGCTCGATAGAGAGAAGCAACTTTAGCAGATGCTAATTTTGCAACAGATTTGATATAAGGTTTCTAAGAAAGATCAGAATTAAGAGTTAATCCTAGAAGATCAAGGGTAGGAGACTTATCGAGTACATTACCGTTCATAAATATAGGAAGGTCTAAATTATTGCGATAACGATTGGCCAAAAAAAATTGAGTTTTATCTAAATTAAAGTTCATCAGCCACTGTGAACCCCATGCTGTAGCAGAAGCGAGATCCTTTTCAAGCTCAGATGCCCCCTGCAAGCAAACAGAGGGAGTTGGTTTCTTATCGTGACAAGAATAAATGGTAGTATCATCAGCGAACAATGCCACCTTAGATGTGAGAATATCTGGATGATCGTTAATGTAAATTAAAAAGAGTATAGGGCCAAGGAATGAACCTTGGGGAACCCCTGAGGTTACAGAATAAGAAGATGAGTGCTGTCCATCAAGGACAACTTTTATACTACGATTGGAAAGAAAGGATTCAATAATCTTAAAGGTGTTTCCAGATACACCATAAGAAGAAAGCTTATGGAGGAGACCAGCATGCCAAACTTTATCAAACGCTTTATAAATGTCAAGAGCAATGGCCTTAACCTCTCCACCTTTATCTAATGCGCGATAAAACCTATCGGTTATTACTGATAGCAAATCAGCCGTAGAACGAGAAGATCAAAATCCATACTGATGATCAGAAAGTAGGTTATGAGATTCGAGATGAGATATTAAGTGTTTGTTAATTAAAGATTCAAAAACCTTGCTTATGATAGGAAGAAGACTAATGGGACGGTAGTTAGATGAATCAGATCGCTCTCCAGAATTTTTAAAATTAGGGATAACAGATGCTGCTTTCCAGCAGGCTGGAAAACAAGACTCTGATAAGCACTTGTTGAATAGTTTTGAAAGGATAGACAACAGCTCCGGAGAACACTTCTGCAAGACTATAACAGGTATGTTATCCGAGCCGCAAGCTGTAGAAGAGTTTAAGCGGGAAATCACTTTAGACACAGAAGCTGGAGTGATACGAATGTCGAGCAATGGATCAACCTGTTTGACGGCTATATCAGGTAGAACGCAACTAGTGGCATCAAGAGATGATATTGATTAAAAGTTCTTGGCAAACAACTCAGCTTTGTCTTTAGGTGAGGTGACAAAGTCTGAACCATACAAAAGAGATGAATTACAGACTTTCCCTTATTATTGATACTATTAAAGATTCTCCAGAAGTCACGAGAGCCTAATTTTTGTGATGAAATTCGAGATTTCATGATCTGAGAATAGCAGGTTTTGGCATTAGACAAAATCTTTTTACAATGGTTCCTAGCAGTAATAAAGAGACGTCTGTTTTCTGGAGAATTGTTTTGCTGACAGATATATACAGGTTTCGATTGGCAATTGCAGCAGCACAATGTGAAGAAAACCATGGAGAAGAGTGAGGCTTGACCTATAATCGTCGAGAGGGAATAAAGGATTCCATGCCAGCCTGATTCCACGAAGTTATGTAAGAAGCACATTTGTCAACAGGGAGACGAAAGATTTCTACTTAAGGGCCATCACGAAGAAAGTCACGAAAAGAGTCCCAGTCAGCTTTAAAGTAGTTGTAAGATGTACGATGATAGGGGGATTCTAATGGTGAAGAAGAATGAGATAATAGTTTTAGAGACACCAAACCATGACCAGACACACCTAAGGGTGAGTGTGAAGAAACTGAGCACTGACTAGGATCAGAAACAAGACATAAGTCAAGTAGAGAAGGTAAATGATTCGGGTTGTCTGGAAAGCGAGTTGGAAAGTTGACTATTTGAGTTAGGGATTGAGAAAGACAAAAGTTGTGGGCCTTAATGCCTGCAGAGTCACTGACACTAGAGCCAAACCATTCAGTGTGATGAACATTAAAGTCACCGACAACAACACTATTGGCTGATGGATAAAGAATGAGGGCTTGGTCAACATAATCAGAAATAACATCAAGAAGAGTGCAGTCTTGGGATGAGAGAGAGCAATATAGAACAAAGAGAAAGGTGATGGAGTGAAGTGGTGCTAAACGAAAGCACATAAAAGAGTAGTCTGTGGATTCAAACCTAGTTTTCCGACAAATGGGTGAGTTCTTACGAATGTAAATGCCCAGGCCAAGCATGTGACTATTGAAGTCTTTACGAATTAAAGGAAAATAACCATCAACGCTAAGATCACAAGATGAGACAGCTGAACTCAAATTAGTCTCAGAGAAAACAAACAAAGAATTTGAACTCAAATTAGTCTCAGAGAAAACAAACAAAGGAAAACAGGCTCTGTAGGAACCCTGTATTTTTTGCTGGGTTTTAAGACAAATTGTAGGTACGTGCATATCCAATGAGTTACAGCACCGATTAGGTAATCAAAATCTTTAAATTTTATCAAAACGCGCTTAGCGTTTGAGTTGTGAGGACGGATTTTGTTGTTATTAGAAGAGTTGAATTAGAAGAGTTAAACTTCATTTGGCTTCGAAGATCATTCCATGAGAAACTTTAACTTCCTTCTTCCTCTAGTCTATTATATCTCCTTGATAAAATTAAATCCGATAAAGTGCTTTTTAAAATTTCATATATTTTCACAATACTTGCGCTTTCAACGTTACTTGTTAGCTTGTTAAAACAAGAAATCTTTAAATATTTAAGTATTTATTTAGCAATGTATAATTAATGACCGTTTATAGAATTTAAAAAAAAAAAAAAAAAAAAAAAAAAAAACGGTTTTCAGTTTTATTTATATCTTATTTTTAAAACAGCAGTACTATTTTATGTCAATAGGATGGTTTCATCTTTTTCTAACATAAGTGCGCCAGAAATGGTGTCTAAAATTTTGTTGACTCATATTGTCTCTCATCTAAATTGATACCATTTTGTCGAAAGGCACATTGGTGGTACTGTATTTCTCTAGAACTAGAATTCTGCATTCTGCAACTGTCCCAATTAATTTGTTGTGCACAATGTCTTATGTGTGTGCCTAATGCAGATCGTTCTGTTTTATTTCCTGACCTTTCATGGAAACCATATACACAATCGATTGTTAATTAGCTTCTGCTAAGGTTGCTTCTTTTATCCTGCTCGGCATTTCCTTACTTCTGATTCCATTCTCTACCTCTACAAATCTCTTATTCGACCCTGTATGGAATACTGTTGTCATACTTGGGCTGGTTCTTCTA